ATATCTTCTAGCCTGCACTATTCCAAGTAACTTCATGTCTTTCTATTCTCTTTCCAGATACCTGTGACTCCTATCCACTAGTGAAGATGCTGAGAGCAACTGGAGAAAAGAGGGCATTTTGATTGTGCCATGATGTAGAAGGCCTAATTCTTAGTTACCATTAATTACATTACCATTAATTACTTAATTACAGTCTTTTGTTAGCCTTGCCAAATTCAACAGTCACATTAACGATAGGTATCTCTCAAATCTGGGATTTGTTTCAATTTTGTGTTATTTTTAAGAAGATGAGTGAACCCACAAGAATTCCCTCTGCAGGATACATCTTCAGTCATTTCACCACTCCTAAGAGTAAACTAACACCTTGTTGAGTTATTCATGACCCTTCTCAGTCAGGCTGATGTAGATCTGATCACTTCCTGAGGCTGTTGTGAGGAATAAATCAAGCATCTCTCTTCATGCTGAGTGCTGGCACTTCACAGTGTCTGAGACTCTATGAAAGAGAAAAAATCAGCACAAACCATAATCTGTTCCATATCCCAGGTGAGCTACCCAGCATTTTAGCTCTCAAATCAATTCTCCCTATTGTGTCTCTCAGTCTTCAGGCTCTTCCTTATTCCTCTGCTAAAGCTCATTTCTTCCATCATGCCCATAAGTAACAAATTGTGTTCAGCCAGGTTATATTACTGCACTTCTATCACTGTCCCCGGGGCTTTCTCACTCCTGAAGGATGATCTGGAGTGACACTTAGAAGCAAGAAAAGTGGTGTTAAGGAAGGTGGAAACAGCTGGTGCGGGAAGGGGCAAAAGTTGGAGATGTGAAAGAGAGAAGAGAGAGAAGGAAAGTCTAGAAAAAGAGCCATGGCCAAGCCTCAGGTCTGAAAAGCAAAATTTACACCAGAGAGTGACTGTGGTTAAAATGCTGATGATGAGTTTGAGAGGCAGCTCTGACAGAGAAGTCTGCCCAGCTGGCCCTGCCCAAAGAGGTATGAAGTGAACCTTGATGATCTTTAGGGCTTCAGAGGAGAACCCCCCAAAAAAGCTCCAAGCTTTGTTCAACGTTTTTCTGAAAGTACAATGCTGTAATCTATTTGGGGATGGGAAATCAAAGTCGGAGGTTTTTCTGAGCAGCATGCTCAGGTACTAGGCTAGCCAGGGAAACACCCAGGTAAAAATTCCTTCTGCATTTGATTTGAGCCTGTGTGGCATGTTTAGGTCCAGGGTAGCTGTGAGGTCCTTACCCCAGGGCTGGCTCTGGAGATGTCTCCATGCAGCCATGCTCAGATATCTCCACCCAGCCACTCACCTGTGCTCTGGAGGAGATGGGGACTCCTTGTCTGCTCAAATGGAGTGACTGCTGTGGCACCTCTGTGTGACTGCAGGACACCTTCCAAAACCACCAGCATCCTCTGCTGCAGCAGGAAATGTCCACCGCACCAGGTACACAAGAGAAATAACAGAGAAGTATCTCTGCAGTCTCATGAGATATATCCAGAGATCAGCGCTTGTCTTGTCTTAAATTATGTGTTTGGTACATTTGTGTCCCATGTGGGCATTTTTTAATACTCTTAAAAGGACCCCAGCAGGTCTGGGGTTCCACCAAGTCTTCTTTTTACATCACTTGGTTCAGGTTGAGTCAAAACTGCTTCTCAGTAGTACCTTAACCCCTTATTTTCAGAATTTAATCTGAATTACTGCCATATGGTCAGGTCAGTGGAGCTAGTGACCTGCTCACAGCCTGACACAGCCCACAGGCTGAGCTAAAAACTACCTCTGATCTGCCTAGCTGGAGCTGAGGGAAGCCAGAGCATAGTGGATGAATGGGGGTCTTCCACAGACCACAGCTCACTGTACTGCACAGAGCCCACTCTCTCCCAAAGCACAGAGGATGGAGACAAAAAGACCAGGGAATAAACCCAGCTGTGTTGCCCATTTGTCCCAGAAAAGCAGGCAGGTTTGGGTACAATCTTGTCTGGGATCTACTGAAACTGCTGGAAAAGCAGACAAATCCTGAAGTCCTGCCCCCAGGCTGCAGCCCCAAGTGTGTCACAGCCACAGCAATTGTGCTGCTATCTGAAAACAGCCCTCCTTGGTTTGTGGTGACAAACAAATGACACCAGAGGGGGGGAATCTTCATATTCTCTGAACTTTGCCAGCCCACGTGCTCACAGCTGCTGGGGGTGCAGAGGGAGCAGCTCGGTGCAGCTGCAGAGGATGCACAGGCAGGGCTCTATGCTCAGCTGAAACTGTGTGTAGGTGCAGGATCCCCTTTCCCTATGGCTATTCCATCATCCCAGGGCTAATCCCTGCTGGGTCACACTCACAGTGCATGTTTGGGATTCAAGAGTGGATAATGGGAATTTTCTATGATTTCTGTTTCTGTGTTACATGGTCCCAAAACAGGATAAGGGATAAAGGCTTTGTATAAAAGGGTAATTATGCACTGGGAAATTAGTTCTCATGAAACATGTGAGGTGTTAGCAAATAAGAAAGGTGCTTTAACCAAATAATATGTGTTTTCTGCGAGGCTTTGTGATGGGGAAATTGAAGGGAGCAGCAAAGAATAGAGGGGACCAGGTAATGGCCCTTTCCCAGCCAGGTGAGAGGGGTGAAGGGAGAGTTCAACCTCCCATCTCAAGGGTGAAGGGGGTGCATTTGTGGTTCTTGGAGAGGAAAAATTGATTTCTGTGGGTTTAAACCATTATTTATTTGTTTGTTTTTTCATGAGCTCAGTTATAATGTATATTTCTAAGGGGAAGTGTCTTTATGTAAGTTTTGCATTTCTTTAAAACACCTATGCTGCAGCAACACGATATTTCTTTGCACTTCTCAGCCTGGTGATTGTGAAAAGTGGGTTTTAAATTCATTTCTCACTTTTCACCCGGTTTCTGCAGGGTTAAAGGACTTTATTTCAACTTGAATTGCAAAGGGTTTTTTTGTCTGTGTAACCCCCCCCACACCCTGCCCCATTCTCAGAGAGTGCAGCACCTCTGAGATGAAATTGAACATGGGCTGGAAATGAGGTGGTTAATTTAACTTTTGAAATTGCCCATGTTTTAAAATTGTTTGAGACCCGCTATGTGTATCTTGAGGCTCTTTCTGTATTCAGAGGTGAGGGAGAGATGCAGCCGAGGAGAGGCAGCATGAGAGATGGGAGTGAGTTTGTGCATTAGCTCAGAGCCCCATTCTGCAGCCCAAGGCAGAAATCTTTGTGTTTGAGTAAATATTATGCAGACAAAAAGCAAGTGAGAGATCTGGGCTTATAAAAGTAAAAACCCACACTTTTTTCTTTTTACCAGGACATATCTTTCCTAGCGTAGCCAAAGGTACAAGCCTGGGTAGTGAGTGAGAGGCAGTGATTGAACAGACAGCCCATTCTCTAACAGAAAGATTTATTGAGTACATGCACAACTAAGAAAAACAAAGCAAAGCAGTGATGTCCAGGCTCCAAAATCAAGATCTCACCAATCCGCTGGCCAGACGTGCAGGGAGTCTTGGGAACCTGGAGGTGATGCTGCAAAGGTCCATGTGGATTCAGCTCCTTAAAGTCCATGGTGATTACAGGGTCTTCTGTTTTGCTCATCTTTTACCATCTTTCCAAGTCTTTGAGACTATTCACACCCCTGCTGTCTTCAATGGGTGCTTTTCCAAGCTCAGGTGTTACATTTCCTTCTCTTTCCTTCCAAAGGCATTGTCCTTGGCTTCCCTTACCCCCATCTCCTTGGTTAAATGATGTCTTGAGCTTTAGCTTTCATATATTTTTAGATTCTATGCTGCCTTAGCGTGTGACTCTGAACTGTTGGAACACTGGAAACTGAGAGTTTTGAACTTTATATGCTGTCAGGCACTGACCCCCAAAAGAGCATGGAAGCCTTGGAGAAGACATCCAAAATGGAATGATAGAACTAGAATCACTGGTGTGTAGTTTGTATAGAAGTGTGGTATCACATGGTGAAAAATTTAGAATTTAGGATTTTAGAATATAGCAATATATAAAGGGCAAGATGATGGTTTTAGGGTGGAGGTTTCTTTTTTTCTTCACAGGTCTAGGTGAGATTTAATTGGATAGAAAATGCACTGTGGGTCACATGTGTTTGGTCATTGGGTCAAAAGTAAAAATCTATCTAAAGATCTAATCTAGGGGTTAGTTTTTAATTGGACAATTAAGCTTTAAAAGACCTTGTAACTAGAGAGATATATTGCCATTTCTTCATTTTTAGCTTGTTAGCTAGAAGTGCTGTAGCACTCACTGTAACATAGATAAGAATTAATAAACATCTGGGTCCAAACATGAAATTCCGTCTCTTGTGCTTTTAAGCCCAACTCTGACTGAAGAGAAAAAAGAAGACGTTAAACACGATACTGAACTTCATGTAAAGTGTTGGCAAGTTCTCTTCACAGTTTAGTCAAAACAATCATTTTCCAGCCCAAGATGTTGCAGCTTTAGGCTCAAGAAGTGCAAACAACAACAAATTGAGGAGAGCAATATGGGAGGATGGGACTGCATAACCTGATCTGTAGTTGGACAATTAATCCCAATATGTAAGTGGACCAAAACTTATAAAAGTGTGAAAACTCGTTTACAGCCATCCATCTTGGATCCATCTTGGGTGTAGTCACGGCCAGGCTCTTGTACTGCCCAAGGTGTACCTTTTAAAGGCCTTTTAATAAACCCCTACTTTATTCCTTTAACCCTGTCTAGCCTCTGTTCCAGGTAGCTTCTCACAGGCATCTTAAGGACTCTTAAATCACACAAGAGCAGCTTCTTAACATTAGTATTTGGGGATGAGAAGTTCAAAAACAAATTACTTATGCTAACTTTTGCTTCTTTACTATGAAGGTGATCAAACAATGAAACAGGTTTGCCCGGAGAGGTTGTGGAGTCTCCATCTGTGGAGACAGTCAAAGCCCAGCTGAAAACACTCCTGGGCAATCTGCTCTAGGTGACCTTGCTTGAGCAGGTGGGTTCAGACTGAATGAAACCTCTCAAGAGGTCCCTTCCAACCTCAACCATTCTGTGGCTCATGCCATCTGCAGGCTGCTTGGCCTGTCCTCCCCTCCTGGATGGCCCTCTGGTAGCAGAGAAGGCCATCCCTTTCATCAAGGTCTGGCATGGCGTGTGTCCCCACCACCCAACACCTGCTGGGTTGCAGCCAACAGCGGAGCCAAAAGATCTTCTTGGTGGCAAACACAGAGGCCAACCCAGTCTTGCCCTTGACTATTTCATGAGGGTCTTGGCCAGCCCCGCTCCTTTCACCTGGTTATCAAAGCAGAGTTTCACCTGCCTCATCCGGTAACAAGTGGCTACCATGGCAAAGCACACACAGATTTGCATTAGCAGTATAACTACAATGGGGTGCAGCAGCGCGTTGAAAATGCCAGTGGCCGTGGGGGACCAGCCAAAAAAAACTTCCCACCAGTGGTGTTCTCCCGCCCTCCTAATTCGTTCCATTACCTGTTTTATAACTTTACCATCGTGGTGAACTGTTATTAGGATCTTTTTAGCTTCAGCCTTGGCATTTTCTAGCAGCTGCTGCAAATTTGCATGCTCTAACATTTCTTTTACAAGGGATAAATCCATACCGATGGGGGTTGGGGTTATACTACGATACAAGGTATAGTTTCTGATTAGCAACTGGCTAGTAAACACAGGTGGTTTATACACAAAATCACAGCCTCTAATAGTAGCTACATTGCAAGCACACATATTTGAGTCGCTAAACACAGTCTGGTTATAAGCTTCATTAATTTGCACGTATTTACACATTGTTCTGAAGCACACACAGCCTTTCCCTACGTACACTAGCACGGTTTTGTTACTGCTCTGGGGGTTGATCTCAAAGTGGCACACCCCTTCTTTGGTGTCAAAGCACACATCGCTCGCCTTAAGGGCATCATCTTCACATATGAATCCCAGCCCCCTCTCCAAAATGCAGGCTTCCAAATCTACCGTCTCCCACTTCCCATCAGACACCCTGGCCCACATGCGGTGGTCCAGGGGGTAGACCACGGACCCGTTTGTGTTTACCCCCAGGGCCACGATGGGGTAGACCTTTTCAATGCGAGCCTCTGCCACGGTGAGGACGTGGGCAATGACTGCGTTGAGGGTCTGGTCGTGGGTGAAGTTGACGAGCCTCCACCAGGCTTGGAGCTGCCGCTCCTTCTCTGTGGCCGCGTCCCACACGATCTTTCGGATCTCAGTGGGCAGGACGCCGTTGTCGCCGTCTCTCAGGATGCCTGCAACGACACTCTGCACCCACATCTGGGCCTGGATGCAGCTGAGAGCAAGAGAGACGTTACTTTGTTCGATGCCCAGGGCTCGCAGCAGCACCTGATGGTCTTTCTCACTTATTTGTTCCCAGGTGGGCAGCACCTCTGACACAAGCCACTGCCCCATCCCAAGGCTGGACAGGGATGAATTCAGGGGCTTGAGGAGGTCCTGCACTCCTGAGGTGACAGTCTCCAGCTTGTTTGCCAAGACCTCAGCATTCATGCTGTTGAGGACTCCCAGGCCAGCACCTCCTCCTCCCAGCACTGTGGCCAGCAGGTCCCTCCTGGCCCGGGTGGCCTGGAGGGAGCGGCTGTGGAGCCACGCCAGCCAGCCAGTGTGCAGAGTAGCCAGGAAGGGGGCACAGTGTGGTCTGACAGAGGAAATATTAACAGTGGACAGAGACAGCACCACCTTCTTTAGTGACCGGACAGGCCCTGTCAAGAGCTCCTGGATGTGATTTTTCTTCACTACGTAAGGACCTATTTTAGAAACAAGAGGGGGCAAGACAGCAGTAATGGCAAATTCCTTTTTAAATCCTTCGGGGCCTCCTATCCACCACTTTCCTCCAAGCCCAGGGGACATTTCTATGCTCAGGTTTCCTCGACACCACACCTGGAGGGTTATGATCAGATGTGGGCAGCGTCCATAATCCTGATTATACCATGAAGCCTCTGCATCTAATTCAGATCTATCTAGTGTTTTGCTCTCAGAGAGGCAGGTCAATGGAATGATCCACTTGTGGCCATTAGGGGCTGTGACAGTCACAGTGGTGCTATTAATTTGCATTGGGTCAGCTACACTTTCTTGGGAGTATTTAATTTCCAGTTTTACCTGGTTGCCAATTTCAACATAAGGGGCTGCATGCCAGGCCAAAAAATGGCACTTTGAGATCTTAATGGCAGCAAAAGAGGGTGCTGTGGTGCTGATCTTAAATTTAAAGGACAGCCCCACATTGTTGTGTGCCCAGAGGCAAACCACAAAGACTGGCTGGACCAAAGTAAAATTGTACCAGCAGTCCAATTTCTCCACAGCACAGATTTTTTTCTGATTCTTCTTAGTTTTTACTTCAGTGACAGAGATTTGAGTTACTCGCTGGTGAGTGGATCCATTGATTACCCTGCACCCCACCTTTATTTGGTGTCCCACCTTCCCCAGCAGCTGTGGAAGTCTTTCTGTGCTATCCCAGCCCCACTCATTTTCCAAGTACACCTCTGCCCCATGCATAACTACTGTTGACAAATTTAAGCCTTTGTTAGAATTTAATCCCATGATTCCCGTATGTTTTATATAAGCTTGAGACCAGGGCCAATCAGTCCCAATTTTTGTGTGCCTCCTAACCCTGTGCTGGGCTGTGGCCTGTGTGTTAAGGTGCCTTTCTAAGTGAGAGTGAATGACATTTTGTCCAGGGTGCTGATGGGTTGGTTGGACACATTGCGTGCTCAGCACTATGCACATACCAGAAAGCAAAGTAAATCCTGCAATCACAAATTTGAAAGCATTTTCCCCGCAGCACAAACAGGGCTGGTGATGCCACGAAGTTCGCCCTTCCCGCTGGTCACAATCGCCTTCCATTTTCCTTTATCTGCAAAACATAAGCAAGGCGGGCTCTCCAGCCCCGTTAGTTTCCCTTCCATGCTTTTAATTGTGAAGAATGGAACCACTTCTCCTGCCTTTTTGCCCCTTTTCTGATTTCTACCTGGTACACAGAGGGGCTGGCCTTGTTCACAACCCTAACAGGCCCCATCCACTGGGGTTCCAGCACCTGGTTCTTCTCCCTAACCACTCGGTATATCACCAGGTCCCCAGTGTTCCACTCCATGGGGTGCAGTAGCACTCCCAGCTGCTTATCCATCTTAGGGATGCTGGTCTCCTGTGCCGAGGCGAGCTGGTGGTAGGTGGCTGACACCGTTCTCAGCATGTCCTGGACCCACCTGTCCATCAGCACACGGGGCTGCATTTCATCCGGGGGCTCCCCTCCTTGCCACCAGCGTTCCAGAGACTTCAGGTCTCTTGCGGGAGGAAATTTTGGGGGAGAAAGTGTTTGAGATGCCAGAGAGCCCCTCAGTGCCAGCAAGGTCAGTGGGAGCTTATGATCCCAGTCTTTCCTTTGCTGGCTCATGAGCTTCCTCAGTGCTGCCTTCAGTGTTTGGTTGGGCCCCTCTGCTGAAGTTGGCTTCTGGAAATGCCCTGTGATGTGAAGCTTTTGCTTGATTCCCAGGGCCTGGCACACCCCTTTTGTGACTTCCCCAATGAAGCGTTGGCCGTGATCTGAGTGGATCTCCTTTGGGATGCCCCACTGTGGGAAGATGTGCTCTACCAGGATCTTGGCAGTTGCACTGGCTGAGTTGTTTCGAGCTGGGAATGCTTCCACCCACTTGGTGAAGACATCACTGACCACTAGGCAGTACTTATTGCCTTGGGCTGTTTGGGACAGTGGGCCAATAAACTCCATCTGCAGTTTGCTCCATGGCCCAGAAACCCTCTGGTGGCCCAGGATGACTTTGGCTGTTTTGGCATCGGGATTGTTGGCTGCACATGTCAGGCAGTTGCTGACGTACCTCTCCACATCCTCTCTCATTTCAGGCCACCACCCAGCACCCTGCAGCCTCACCATGGTCTTGTCTGTCCCCAGATGCCCCTGCTCATGAGCCAGGGCCACCAGCTCTGTCCGGACCAGTTCAGGCACCACCCAGACTGGGAAATCTGCCCCCTCCCTCCGTGCCAGGACCAGTCCTGAGACATCTTTCCACACCTTGCACCCTTTGTACTCCCTGCCCTGTGCTAACTCCCAGAGCCTGGGGTCCTGTGCCTGCAAGCCCACCAGATCCACGGTCTCCCAGTGCCTGCTGGGAGCCACTGACACTGGGCCACTCTCTGATATCTTGCTGGCCTTCCACATCAGCCCTTCCTTGGCACCTTGCTTGGCTCTGGCATCTGCCTCCTTGTTCCACTTGGCTTCCTCTGTCCCCTTCTTGTGTGCCTTGACCTTAATGATCTGTGCTGGGCACGCCCTCTGCTCTGCCAGCCTTGCAAGGTACAGCAGCTTTTTGGCATAGGTGACAGGCTTGCCATCAGCAGACTGCATGTCCCTCTCCCTCCAGAGGGGCAGCCACTCCAGGGCCACACGCACTACCCAGCCCGAGTCTGAGAATATGGCCAGTGGCTGGTCGGATGGTGTGTTTTCCAGGGCAGCCATCACGGCCACCAGCTCGGCAGCCTGGATGGAGTGTGGCAGGCACTTCCCCTTCACCACCTCCCCGGTGCCCCGGTTGACAGCCGCATAGCCCGTGTAGGGCACCCCTTCCTCGTGGTAGTTGGACCCATCTACGAACCACACAGCGTAGCCTCTCTCCTTGGCCTCCGCCAGGCTGAGGCTACTCTCAAAGAGGGGTGCCCGCCATGGCTTGGGGTCAGTAAGGCAGACTCCTGACCCCTCCCCATCCTTCTCTGCACTGATCACCACCCTGTAAGCACCAGGTGAGGGATCCCTGGGGATCTCCTTGTTGGTCAGTGCCAGCGCCCAGTTGGCCATCCTGGGGCAGCACAGGGGACCATCATCCCCCTTTCCCAACAAGAGGTACCTCACCGGGGTGCAGGAGGTCCTCAGCAGCACGGGGGCCGACCCCACCAGGTACTCCCAGTGCTGCAGGGCCCAGGTCAAGGTTAAAACCTCCCTCTCGTAGTCACTGAACTCTTGCTCGACTGGCGTCAGGAGACGCGAGGCGTGGCCAACAGGGAGCAGGTTGGAACTGTGCTGCTGGCCCAGGGTGGCCTGCAGCCCCCTCCCCGTGCTGGCCAGCTGCAGAACATAGGGTCTGTCCCCCCGAGGATGTGCCAGCATGGGGGCTTGTGCCACACTCTCCTTTAAGGTCTTCACAGCTTCATCCTGCTCTGGCCCCCATTCCCAGGGGATATTCTTTCTCAGGAGGTGGCAAAGGGGAGCTGTTTTCTCTGCATAGCCCTCAATGAACTGACGGCACAACCTCAGGAGAGCCAGGAAGGACCTCAGGGTGGTGACATCAGACGGTGCTGATATCTTCTGTATTAGCTCAACCCTCTGCTTTTCCAGTGAGCACCCTTCCTCCCCCAGGGTCACCCCCAAAAAGGAGACCTCCTTCCAGCACAGCTGGGCCTTTGTGGGGCTGATCCTGAAGCCTGTTTTCTGGACAGCCCCCAGCACCTCTGCCAGCACCTCCAGGTTCCTCTCCTTTGTCTGGGTGTGGATGAGGATGTCACCAGCACAGGACAGCACGCTGTCCCGGTGGCTGACCTCCTCCCACATCCTCACCATGCGGGCATGGCAAATGGCAGGGGCATTGTGGAAACCTGGAGGGACTCTGGTGAAAGCAAATTGCCGCCCTCGAATCGTGAAGGCAAACTTGTGCCAGGACTCGGGGTGCAAGGGGATGGCAAGTGATGGGCTGGTGAGGCTGAGCACCGAGAACCACTCGGACCCCCGGGAGATGGCTGCCATAATGTTGGGGTACTTGACCACCGTGGAGGTCTGCATTGGGGTGACTTGGTTCAGGGTGCTGAAATCAACTGTCAGCTTCCATGTTTTCCCATCAGCTTTCCTCAGGGGCCACACTGGGGCGTTGCTGGAGCTCTGCTGCTCCACCAGGACTCCCTGGTCCAGCAAGGTTTTGACTGTGTCCCACAAGCTGTCCTCAGCTTCAGCCGGGTACCAGGGCTGAGGCTGAGGAGGTGGATCTGGCCCTTTGACTGACACAGTGGCATCAATCTGCCCACAGTCCAGCTTGCTCCTTGCCCAGACCAGGGGGAACTGTTCTGTGACCCGTTTCACCCGGGGCTCCCACTCAGGGTGGACCAGGATCTCAGGGGCTTTCAGTGACATCACCCTGTGGCTTGCCGGGATGACGGGCAAATCAATTTGTGGGCAATGTAGCAATGCTTGGTTTGCCAGGTCCACAACCACCCCCATCTTTGTCAATGAAGGGATGGCTAAAACTCCTGGCTTTCCTTTCATTTCCATTTTCCCAAATTTTTCAGACCCTTTGGCAGCCCCAATTTCAAAGGGTACGGGCCCTGTGAAGGGCACTGAGGATTTCTGGCCGTTTGGGCCTGTCAGTTCAATAATTTCAGAGGTTTGGAAGATCCCAGCTCTGCTGGGAGCCATATTCAGAATTGAATAAGAGGCACCAGTATCAATTAACATCACTTGTCCAAGCACCCCTCCTCCAATAGTTGTATCAACTATCAGGCGCCCCCACAAATTGGTCTTAATCGGTGCCACAAAAAGGGGCGATGCGGGTGCCTGGCAGCCCTATTGCTGAGCCTTAGACCCCGGGTCAATGGGGTGGCAGCTGCTGTGCTTTTTGGCCTCATGCTGGGCCAGTTTTTGGAAGAGCTCCGCATCTGGCAAGCCATCAATGTCCTCCTGTTTCTCATATTTTATCAAGCGCTTCCTCAGCTCAGCCCTCCAAGGGTTAGACTTCTGAAACCTCAGCCCTTGCTGGTTCTCCTTCCCCAGCCCCCCCTTGCCATCAAGATCTTTTCGGTTGTCTCCTTGCATTTTTCTCATCCCTGCGTTTTGGAAAGGCATGGCCAAGGTTTTCCCTTTCTTCCCCCCCAGCATGTACCCTGGGAACGCCTGCTTTTGCAGCTCAAAATTCTGGTTCAGGATCTGCTCCAGCTCTGACAGAGGCTTTTTGGCTGCATCCCCACCAGCTATCACCCGCAGTGGGGGTGTCAGCCCCACCACCAGTGGCTCCTTGAATTCAGGCCTGTCAAAATCAACAGGGGAGTCCTTTGAGCCAGGCAGCCCGGCCATCTGGTAGAGCATCTTTTTACGGTTAACATAGGCATCGGGCCTCTCCTCAGGGTTTTGCTTCTCCTGGTGGAAAAGCACTAAGGGGTTGACCTCTGGGAAGAACACCTTCAGCACGGCCAGCTGGACGTCCCCAATGTCCTGAACATTGCCCATCTGCACATCCCCCGGCAGTGCTGCAAAATCATCCGGTTTCATGCACTTTCTCACAATGTCTATCAGGTCACTCACAAAGTTGCCACTCTGGCACTTGGGCAGACGCTGCACCCTGGACAGCCAGTTAATCGCTGTCTCCTTTGTCAGTGGCCCCAGCATCTTCCCCACTGTCTTAAGCTGCTCAGGGGTAAACCAGAGCACAGCCCTGTTGGTGTCTATGGGCTGGAGTGGGACATGGATGACTGGCTCATCGTGGGGAACCTTTTTATCTTTGGAAGCCTCTACCTCCCCTGCTTGCAGCTGGCACACCTCCTCCCGCAGAGGAGCATAGGGGGATGGCCTGGTGGGGCCATTAGCACCCCACACATCATCCTCATAATCATAGTGGGGTGGGTGCAGGTCCAGGGAGTCCTCCCCCTCCCCATTCCCGATCGGGGTCCTCTTGCCTTTAATGGCAGCCACAATGCCCCTCGACACCCCCAGCTCTGCCTCCAGCTCCTGGATCTTGGCATGGCACACCTTGTGATCGGGGCCAGAGCCCCGGTCCCGCTGGGCGTCCTGCAGGACTGCCCGCACGGCGCTCTGCGCATCGTGGGTCTCCCCGATCCACTTGCCAACCTCCTTCTTCAGCTCCTCCGTTTTCATCTTCTCATAGCCCAGCTTGCTTTCCAGCCGGGAAATCTCCACCGCGCTCCGCAGAGAGTCCCCGCACAATCCCTGCACCTCCGCCCGCAGGTTGTCCACCTGCACTTTGAGCTCCTCCTTGGCCTGCTCCAAGGTCTGCACATTCTCAAGAGCCTCCTTCAGCAATTTGGACAACTCCCTGCCTACCATCAGCAAACCCTGCAAAGCTGCTCGCTTCTTACACTTGTTAGTGGGTTTGGGCTTTTTGTTCTCCTCTGACCAGCTCTCCCACTGTTGGCACAGCTGCTGGTACGCATCTGGGCCCTGGAAAGACCCTGCTGACCAAATTGGGGGGAGACACTTCTGGAGCACAAACTGCTCCAGCTTCCAACTGCTAACGATGTCACTCATCATAGTGAAGGGGACAAGATCTGCAACGACTCCGTCTCCGGGCAAAACTACCACAACACACCAGCACTGACAATCCCTTCAACCCCTCCACAGAGCAACCCCGCAACCCTGCAGCCCCGCAACCCCACAACTCACCCCTCCGAAAAGCCCCCCGGGGGGACACCAAGCCTGGACACAAGGGAGGGGGAAGGTGGGAACAGGAGGCTGTGGCCGAGCTGGCCGCTGCCACGAGCCACCGGCTCCCGGGGAGGGAATGGGGAAGGGATGTGGGAGCAGGTGAGGCAAAGGAGAGACCGAGCAGGACCCCAATAAAAAGATCTCACCAATCCTCAGCTGAATGTTCCAGCGGTCCCAGGAGTTTGGAGATGATCTCTGCAGAGGTCCAGCAGATCCGGCACCTTTAAGGTAAAGGTGGTCACGAAGTCTCAGCCTGGTGATTTTTATAGCCATGGCAGGTTGTTGTTTGGGGCTGGTGACACCTGTGTTTACTTCCTTGGTGGCTTTTCCTCCTCCATGTGCTGCCTTCCCAAGGACACTTTCCTTGTCTTTCCTTATCCTCTTCAACACTGATTAGAGAAGCTGAGATCACACGGCAGCACCTGCACTGCCCCTATCTGTCCAGGATTAGTCGCGGTTCACACTAAACTTCTGCTTGCACCCAATGTCCTGAAGAGGGAGAGCTGGAGCCTGTCCTGTGATCGTCCATCCTTCCAAATCCCCCCATGCCCCCCTCATTTACTGCACACCCCATTAGCACCTGGAGTTTGTGGGGAGATCACACGTGAAGCTCACACCTGACACCTGTAACAAACACAGTCCCACCAAACCACCCCTCAAGCACAGACCTATTTGCCAGGGAGGGATGAAATGACAGGAAAATCCACACAAGTCATCATTTAGATTTATTTTGGCATCTGTCTTTAAAAGCATCATTTTTTCTGTGACACAGCCCAGCTCGTCATGCACTGACAGGGCCTTGGGGTTACCCCATGAGATGTCAGGAGCCTCCACTGTGATATTGCAACAGCTGAGTTGCAGCTGTAAATCTGCACCTGCAAAAGCAGAGGACCCCCCAACCTCACCATACAAACCACATCTCAGCTTGGAGAAGTTTAGAAAATTTGACCCATTTGTTTTGGGTTTCTTTTTTTCTGCTGTCACACTCAGAAAAGGGTACCAATTTTCTCACTCAGTGAAAATACTATCATTTTCATTACTGCTTTTACCTCTAATGAAATACTCCAGAAGCTAAATCCTCCACTAGAATAAAACCACTTTTAAAAAACTTTAAAAGGAAAAGAAAATGTTCACACATGGCTGCTGGAGCCCCAGTGAACTTCAATCCTGCATCCCTTCACCCTAGAGCAGCCCTTATTTCTACATTCTGCAGTACTGACTTGTGTTGGACTGCCCTGGAGGCTGAGCAGCCTTCCCTGACCCCTAAAATCAGTCCTTTTAACCTAAAAAGCACAGAGAGAATGTTTTTTTTCTCTATTTTTATGGTAGCTGTTTTCTCTAGCCTGGCATTTACAGCCCAGCTGCAATTAACCTCCTCTGCAGCATGGGAGTTTAACAGAGATGAAACCTCAGCCAGGTCCTGCTTCTTGGCAATAAACCCTGTTCTACACCAAGGCTTTGCTCCAGACTCTCAAAACAAACACTTCATTATAGGAAATTCGTAACAAGGGGAAAAGAAAAAGTAAAAAATGCAGAAAAGCTTTTGAAAGCACCAGAAATTAACCTCAGCATGGTGAGGTGGGCAGGATGCAGGCTGGAAAAGAGAAGAGGGGCTGTTTCCCACTAGGATGGGTTCACAGGGAGCTGGCTGGGCTGGGGACAGGGATGGTTGTCTTTAATTTCAGAAAAAGAATAAAATTCCCCTAGAAATTGCACAGCTACATAGTACAAATACACCAAAATTCAACTATTCCCCCCAACATGGCCCAGCCATGAGCCAAACCCTGGTGATTAGGAGCTGCTATTCCTCAGCAAGGTCACCAACAAATCTTGCTTGTGAGAACAGATAAGGTCAGCTTACACCTTTCTTTCCTCCCATTTTCTTCCCAGGATAGCAGCCCCAAACAATGTGGGGATATTATAAACAGCAGCTGTCTCCTGCACGTTCACACAGTGCTTTGATTTTTGTCGGTGATATGCTGCCAGACAAAGGTATCCCTCCTCCAAAATGTTTTCTTGTAGGAGCAACAGCCAGTCCTGAGAACAGCCTGGCCACTGGTAAACACCTCCACTGTGCATAAACACCAATTTTTAAAAAATTACATTTAATCCATGTTGCAGTACACTATGCTTTTATATTTCATGTATTCCTTTTGCTTTCTCTAAAGCTGTTATAATATCCTGGGGAAGCATTCCGGTGTAACACCCCCATATCCAAGGCTGTAATGATGGCAAAAGCCACCTCTGGGAAAAATTCTTGTCCTGGTCAGGAAGCCAGAAGTTGCTCCAGGTGACAGCAGCAATGGGAAAAGAGGGACACAGCCATTGCAGCAGCTGGGGATTTTGGGCTCAGCTCACGGACTTCACCACAGGAAATTCACTTGCAGTGGCATTTCTCATAACAAGCACTCCCTGCCCCTCCAGCTCAAAAAAAGAAGTGTTTCACCTCATTCCAGGGAGGGCCCAATCTCAGTGAGATGTGAAACAAAAGGGGACAGATGAGCAGAAGATGAGGACAGAAGAGGCAAGTGTTGCTGCAACCCACATCAAGGGCTCAGCTCTCAAAACAAGAGCTTAAAAACATTGAAATGGGTTTGAAAACACCAGAATTGCCTTCTCCTGCCAGGAAAGAGTTAAGGACCAACTCAGCCCACCCTAAAGTTTAGCAGATAAACCTTTTGTGGCAAGGGTTTTGCAGCTAGCAACCCACTTCGAGCAGGAAATTAATTTAAACAGAAAAGGGGAGAGGATGTGTTGCAGCAGCACGGAAAAATCTGGTACAAAATGGACCAAAAGCTTACAGTGTACAAGATGCAATATTGTTTTTCCTATTCATCTGCCAGCTCAGCCCTGGGGGAAGTTTCTCAGTGCCCCCATGTGAGGTTCCCTTTTCTGGGAGATGCTGAGGCATTGTAAGGGCCATAAGTATCTGCATGAGGGCAACATAAAAGAAAACTGAATCTCACTTGGCAGCCAAGAGGACAGCAAATAATAAATAATAAATAAATGGTTTCTATTTTTTTCCCAAACAAGAAAATATTGAAATCTGCTGACACCAGTTCATCTCTGTAATTTCACCTCATGTACTTGTCTTTGAATCCTAAACCCCAAGTGCTTCAAACCTCTTCCTCCCAGACATTTCTAAGTCATTCTGATATTTTATCATTTGAATATTTCTGCCTATGAGCCTCATGCTGTCACAGCTACTGAAGTAGCACATGCTGTGAGGTGGGAAGCCCCAGCAGAATTTCCTCATTTTTGTGGTTTTTCAGCCACAAATTTGTTTGAGGTTTCTTGCTCTTGATTTCAAAGCTTTCTATGATGCCTCACATCTCTGCTTTATGTTGGGTTCGTCTGGTGTTAAACATTTTCCAGAGAAAAACACCTCCTGCTATAAATTCTGCTGAAGAAAACAACCCTACAGATCAAATTGCATATTTTCCTTGTTTGGAATGGCTTTTTAGTTTCAACAGGGAAAAACCAGCCAAAATTCACTCTTTCCTGCTTTTATCTTTAGGCTATGGTCCCACGTTTGTAATTTTTGATAGGATAGAAGCAGATTAAAAGAAGAAGGAATAAGTAGGTGGTGGAATATGAAGAAATCATAATTAAAAATCAGTGAGTTTCCTTGGTTTTACTTTTCTAAAGGGGATTTAAGGGTACCCTGTGAAGTGCTGGAGAAGAGCACAGGGCTGCTGCCCTGACGCACTCCTGGGTTTGGGCTCGGCGCAGAAGAAGCTGCCGGGCTGAGGCTCCAGGTGCTGCTGTGGCAGAGGTTCTTTGGCAGCTGCTGGTGAGAGATCTGTGCAGAGAGGGGCAAGGACTTCCTGAGGTGAAGCCAGCCCTGCCACCAAGAGGTGACAGTGAGTGGAAAGGGGGAACTGGCACAAAACCCCTCCGTCACTGAATCCGCCACCATGGCCCGGCCGTGGCTCCATCTCTGCATCTGCCTCCAGATCCCAGGTAAGAGGGACACGTCTCTTAAGGGATGAGGGCACCTAAAATCATGCTGGAGCCTCTCCTCCACCACACCCCAG